TGGAAGAGATCCATATTTGTACCCATTCCAAAGAAAGGTGATCCCACAGAATGTGGAAATTATAAAACAGTATCATTAATATCACACACAAGTAAGATCTTACTGAAGATAATTCAAAAACGGTTGCAGCAGTATATTGACAGAGAACTTCCAGAGGTGCAAGCCGGATTCAGAAGAGGATGTGGAATGAGGGATATCATAGCTGCTGTCAGATGGATCTTGGCTCAAGGCAAAGAATACCAGAAAGATGTTTATTTCTGTTTTATTGACTATGCAAAGGCATTTGATTGTGTGGATCATGACAAGTTGTGAATAACATTGAGAAGAATGGGAATTCCTGAACACTTGATTGTACTCATGAGGAACTTGTATTTTGACCAGAGGCTGTAATTCGAACAGAACAAGGGGACGCTGCATGGTTTAAAATCAAGAAGGGAGTGCGCCAGGGTTGGGTCCTTTCCCCATACTTATTCAATCTATATGCTGAGCAAATAATCCAAGAAGCTGGACTATATGAAGAAAAATGTGGCATCAGGATTGAAGAAGAATCATTAACAACCCGAGATACGCTGATGACACAACTTTGCTTGCTGAAAGTGAGGATGACTTGAGGCACTTACTGATGAAGACTGAAGAATAGTCTGCAGTATGGATTACATCTCAATATAAAGAAAACAAAAATCCTCACAACTGGACCAATAAGCAGCATCATGATAAATGGAGGAAAGATTGAGGTTGTCAAAGAATTCACATTCCTTGGTTCTACAATCAACGCCAATGGAAGCAGCAGTCAGGACATTAGACGACGTGTAGCACTGGGCAGATCGGTTGCGAAGGAACTCTTTCATGTACTGAGGAGCAATGATGTCTTCTTGAGGACTAAGATGTGCCTGACACAAGCCATGGTATTTTCAATCGCCTCATATGCATGTGAGAACTGGACAATGAATAAGAAGACAGAAGAAGAGTTGAAGCTTTTGAGTTGTGGTGCTGGCGAAGAATGCTGAAAGTATCATGGACTGCTAAAAGAACTAACAGATCTGTCCTGGAGGAAGTGCAGCCAGAATGCTCCTTGGAAGCAAGAATGGCCAGATTTCATCTCACCTACTTTTG